TCCAGTTGGACCACAGTAAACTGTATCGCAGGGCTTGCACGGTATCTTGCCTGAGTAGCCGAGCTGGTGGTGCAATGTAGACGTCGGTTTGTGCTACAGATGTATTTGGTGCTCCCTCAATTGCCCTTCAGCGAGATCGGACATATTCTTAATGTACGAAAGCGTCTATCAATTTTGAGTTTGCGCGCCTGGCCGAAGAAATCCGGTTCTCTTTCTTTTTCTTTTAACTCCTGTTGTTTCATGCGTCGATGTGCAAAATCTCTAGGATAGCCATTCTGGGTAAACGGATTGAAAAAATAATTCAGCTCTGTTTGCTAACTTTTGTCGCCATAGATTAGGGAGGCTTTCTACGGCACTCCGTTTGTGAGAGAAGGATGACCGCCATCGTGATAAGGGGAAACTTCTGCATAGGTTTCATTGCGCTAAACGAGGACGTCAAGAAATGGGAATTTGCTGCCAACTTGTTATCGGTCATGAATTCGACTCCTGGAAGCGTTGAGCCAACAAAGTTGTGGAGCATTTCCATTTGGTCTTCTTTTAAGAACAACAGAGGTGAAATCAGCATAAACATACCCGTAATTAGGGTTTTACTATTGTTAGGGCAGTAACCTGTAAGTATTGTATCGCGACTTGCGCAAGAAAGCCAGAGATGGGTGGTCCAAAAGGGTTTCGCTTCAGTTCTTAATAGTATTCCTGTGCAGATGAAAAGTTCCTTTCCGGAAATAGGTTTAAGAGTTCTAGCAAAGCAGATGCAGGGAAATGCGAATCGCAAAGTCGGGGACGCTCTTCTGTGCATTGCCTTGCCAAATCCAATGTGATAGGTGCAAAAAGAGAGACTAACTCAAAGAAACCATTATCCATCTGCTGACCTTTTGAGTCCTTGTACTTTGCCCACAATCTCTGTTGAATTCCCATTTGTTTCTTCACAATCCTTTGTCGGTGGATGGAGTTCGTGGGGTAGCCAGTTAGAAATCTCTTAATTGGGTGTACCAAGTGACGATGCCATCGGTCGCAGGGGTACTTCGGGTTTGTGAGCCTTAGGCAGTCCATAGATTTTAGTATGGTCAACTCAGTCTGTCGTAGGTGTTTGAAAATATCTTCGGGTATATGCTTCCTCCCTTTAAGTTCTCTTAGCTCTCTTTCAATGGTTTTATTCTGCGCTTTGAAAGGGCCTGCGATAAGAGGTTCATAGTAACAGTAACAGTATTTTTTCATTGTAATCTGCATTTTTCAACATTGCAGTGAGGCCTCCTTTGTCCGCAGGAAGTATGACGATGTTTTGTCTACTTTTGGCTTTGTCTAATGCCTTTCTTCATGGGATAGCGCTGAAATAGGATTTCGGTTCTTTAAGACATGTACAGTGGCATTTTGTACTGTGAGATAGTCATCGTTCTTAAAACGTTTTGCCCATACAAAGTTTTTAAAAAATCTTGTTATTTTGCAGCGGGATGATTATATTTCATGCCCTTTTAAGGCACATTCTCCCTGGCTATCGTAAGGCCTCTTGCTAACAGATTTACTACCCTTGGCATGCAGTTTTGGTTTGCCTATTTCCGTTTACAATTGATCTTTTTTTTTCTAAAACACTTCTTTTTTTCTCTTGTTTGATGTCGAAAACACATGTACTCTTTTCATTAAGACATTCAACTAAGTGCTAAGAGAGCTTATTTCAGCAGAAGTTAACATGTTTCCTGGAAACGTGGAATTCCCGAGGTCTGCAACGAGCATCGATAAACGTGATCTTGAGTAATTCTTGTGGCAGATCCTACTTAGACAGATTTTGTCAAAGTTATCTTGTTTAGACGTTTGATAACGGTCCTCGCGACCGACTTTCGTCCTAATTTCACAGTAGGCATAAAACTATACCCAAAATGACTTCGATTCAGACGTTACTGAATTACTGTTTCACAAAAGTGACGGTTTTACGACCATTCGGTCTGATGCAGGCAAACCACGGTTATGGTCATCGTCGCCTCTGCCGAACATCAGATAGGAGGGAAGGCGACTTTAAAACACATAATTTAAGACTGCTTTCTCTCCCCACCGTCCGAAAGTTTATTTTTATATAGAAAATAGAAATAAAACAGTACGTCAGAGTGACCTATGCGTCATTTTAACATGCAGGACTGCAAGCTCTGCAGGAGTTGGAGGAACTCCTGAATGCGCCAAGACGTGGACCTGATGTCGAGGACGGGCCGGCAGCGGCACCCAGCATCCTCCGCCAACCAAAGCCCGTCGGCGAGATCATGGAGGGAGAAAGTGTGAGCTTCCAACTGCAATTCGAGCCCGCTACCGACCCCAATGTAACCGTCGAGTGGTGAGCTCTCCAACTCAATCCACATACTTCGCATTGGTTGACCTAAGATAATGGTTATTTTTAGGCAATTAGCCAGGCAGACATAAATGCAGATGCGAAACTCGCACTGGTTTTCTATAATCAGTTGTTTCCTTCGCACTTTTTTCCTCAATTAAAGGTACAAGGATGGCGAGTCGCTTTGCAATGGTACGCGATTCCGTGTGGAACACGAACGAGGAATCGCCACCCTTGGCCTATTGCACACCATTCCAGAGGACAGTGGATCCTACTGGTGCCAAATCAGCAATGCCTCGGGCAGTATCGAGAGCGATCACCTGCAGTTGAGCTGTACTCCGAGCGCAGCGATCATAACTCAAAGCAACCTCCTCGAGGGTTCTGAAGGTTTCAAACTCATCCAGGCTATTGAGGCTGCCGCAAGAGAGAAGTGCGTTTCTTTTTCTGCTGGCTGTCACCTACCAGAGGACAATTGTGATTGATTTATGTTTGTCAGCGAATAGATGGAATGACCACATTCCCTCGGATGCGGGTTACAGGCTCACCCAGCGCCCCTGCGCGGTGGCGTTGCTGTAATGCGAGCAGTGACTATGTTAGGAGAACGTTCTACTCAATAATTGTTAGTAGGCGTATAAATGTGCTAAAGAAAGGGGGTCGTGGCAGTACCTCACGACCTGCGCACACACTGACATCGGACCCTACCCAACTTCTTATATCGGTTCGTTCATTGCCACATTTCCACTTCAGTTCGGACACAAGCATGCGATATTCTGAGGACGTGCCTGAAGACGCCCCACCTGCCATTGATGTGCCTCCACAGACGGCGGAAGTCATCGTTGGAGCACCGGCGCGCTTCTTGGTGAAGATGAGCGGCCATCCTGTTCCCGAGATTTCCTGGCTTCTTGATGGTGAACCTGTTCAACAGGTATGCGTCCTACTAAGGGATTTTTGAAAGGTTTTCGGACACAACGTAGGCTAATCGAAAATATGGAATAGGCGCTGTTTTTGAATTTTTTTCTGCCTCAACGAAATAAACCTGTTACCTTTGCTAGATCCCCACTCTAGCAAACTCCCCGACCTTAATTAATTCCTTAATAAGATTTGATGATTTAACGCTTTATGTAATTTTATTAAATAGCTATATGTCGCACATGGCCGTCAAAAGGTTGATGAGGGGCATGTTCAGCCAAATTATATAAGCAGCTTTGGAAGTATAAACAGTCTGACGGATAATCGTATATTGGCGTGCAACCAATAGTCGACGGAGGCTTAGCGAAATTGAAAAAGATAATATTGTCGTCTGGAGTATAGGGTACCATACTCAGGCCGAGCTCAGGAGACAGAGACACTGGCCAGCGGCCAACAACTCCCATCCTCGCTAACCTGAGCCCGATTTTCTGTATCTGTTACAACGTGGAAAGTTTGAATAATAGGTATATGTGCATTCCAGCGGTAGACTACCTAAAATGTATTGCATTACTCCTCTCTGACTTTCATCCTTTGACGTCGTACTTAGTTTCCTTTAACGAAGTTAATTGATTTAAAAATGGCTGAAATTCACTTGATGCAGAAAGACGATTCAAAGTTGACCGAGTATGTTCCTTTCAGTAAGACCAACGTCCAAAATGATTACATCCTTACCCCTTTTGTAGTTTTATTTCAACTAACCCTGTCTGATTCCATAAATTTAATTGTACAACGGTTTCCCACTTATGCTCCGTAGGATTCCCTGACCAAGGTATACAGTGACGGTGGCATCAGCATCTTGGAGTTCAACAAATGTTCATTCGACCTCGGCTCACATACCATTCACGTAAAGGCTCATAATGGACTGGGCAACACAGAGGCGCAGACAGAACTGATTGTCCATCCGCCCGACTACAAGGTGCCTGATCTAAAACACGTCGCCCCAGGTACGTCG